AGTGTGCCAAGCAAGGTTGGCGTCGTCAAGAGCCTCTTGAAAGCGCTTCTTGTTGATAAGGGCTTTTGATCGGGCGACGAGCCAAGCAGGGTTCTGCGAGGCCTTCAAGGCGGTTGAGAGCTTCTCCACGGCTTCATCCCAGTTGCGTGCCTCGGCGGCAGCGAGGCCTTGCTGGGCCAGTGTGATGTGCGACATGATAGACTGCAATGTGTGGGTTTAAGAAGAGGGTTTAAGGAGAAAGAAGTTTTGCAGTGCGGCAATGGGGTGAGTTGGTATTGTTGAAAGTTGGTGCGAAGGAGGAAGGTTTAAGGTTGAAGTTGGATGTGAGGAATGGTTGGTTCTGGAAGCTTTGGTGGGGCATGATGCAGGCAGCTCATGTTAGCCCCCGCGCTGTGTAAGTGGAAGCTCTGGTGCCTTAGGACCTCTATAGGCATGATCGGCAAGCCTCAGGTAAACTTGGTATAATTTAGTACAGGTTTAGAAGATCTTAGACTAAGTAGTATTTTTTAGTACCTCAATTTAGCATCAGAAGTCTTCTTGCTCCCGCGGGGTGCCCAAGTTACCGAGACACGAGCAGTACACACTAACTCCAGGATCTACTCCGTATTGATGAGTACCTAGTACTTTATTTACTTCCAGACAATCCTCTTATGGTTCCCTGAGCGAATCATCTAGCTGGGCGTCGCATTCTAACAATAAAGTTGTTGCAAAGCCAGGCTCTACAAAGCTATTGTACAAGTATTTCCCATACTTTGGACCAACCATTCTGTTTCGTTGCTTACAGGAAATAACTCGTCACCTCGTGTTAATTATGGCTGATATTTCGAGTTGTTTTATACTCGGTGGTTGAACAGATGTCTAGCACGACTTTATCAAGTTGAATTCTCGTAGTATTGAGGTTTTTTAATCATCCTGTTTCAAGGAGTTATTGGGAATGTATTCTTACTATGTCCTACCATATGCATCATAACCTATTTGACGCTTGAGACCTAGGACTGCTGTCTTTGGGCAATGCCGGCCACTACCTAATTTCCTGATTTATACCATCGAGGTATTACTTGGTCTTTCATACGCAATAAATAGGGCTCTTCTCAGGCAATATTCCGCTTCAAGTTGTTACCTGGTACTAAGAGGCAATACCTGAACTTAAAAGAACTGACCACGGCCAATATCTGCGGCCTGCTAGTTGCCTTCTTTGAGATCTGGTCAGTAGTCGCGCCTCACTTGACGGGAGCCCTGACAACTGGAAGGCCAGAGGTGCCTTCTCATGATGAGAATATGACAATCTGTGTTCCTGCCAGGCTGTTAAACAAACTCTCTGGGCGTCGGGCCATAGGTAGGTACTCCCAGCAGTTTTCGACGGCCATCTTGCTTCGTTACGTTCCTTCCACTGACTGAAGCGAACAGCCTTCGTTCGTTCCTGGGGAAGGAGTTGCTGTATGCTGCCAAGGTACAAAAAGATGCCAGACCATCCTGGACTCGATCTTTTCTTCTTTTCTTCCTCATGCTGCGCTTCTCGCCCGCAGCTGGATATTGGCTATCCTGTGTGTTGCTCGCGACCCTGGTGACCAACAGTCAATTACCCACTCTGATGTTCAAGGTATCGGAGTGGAAGGGCACAATTTTTTGACTCTCAGTATGCTTCTGGCGTGCGAACTCTCTTTTTCATTGCATTCATCGGCTGGTCCGATGGTGTAAAGAAGAAGAAGAAGCTGGTAGTGTCATCTCTGTAGGTTTGTCAGGGTATGTGTTGCCGACGTGAGTGGGATCGGTACACACTGAAAGGAGGCTGATCAAACGACAGGTGTTGGAGGAGGATAATGAAAGGAGATGGGCAATACGGGAAATGACCTAGGTCGGGGCGACACTTGGTATAGCTTTAGATTTGGGAGTGGGAGAGTTGAGAAGCGGATGAATGGTCAGAAACCATTGGACTACCTGTACACAAGTCAATTTGAAAGGGGAGAATCCTAGGGCCAGACAATATTTTATGTCGTCATGGTGGTGTCTGAAATGCATATTCTTGGTGTGTTCGTGATTAAGATTATTTTCGAGGGCTTAACTTCGACAGTCGCCTTCTCATTGCTACCTTATTATTCATGCATCATCGTATCCGACCGTCTAGCTTTTAGTTACCCTTGCCCTTGACACCGTTGGTCTTGACACCATTTGGCTTTGCGCCATTCAACTTTATCTCTACTGTCTTAGCACCATTTGTCTTCACCCCATTCGTTCCATTCTGCGCGACCGCCCAGCTTGGTACCAGCTTTTCCTCGGGAAACCTTTTCGCAAACATGCCCAAAGCCTTGATGGTAAAGGTGAACTTGTAGTTTGGATAAGAGATCATGCATGACTTATTGAAGACACCCTCGATTGCCTCCTGCAACCACTCTCCGTTGGGCTTCTGACGGTCCATGATGAACTGGATTCCTCGTCTCAAGGGTTCCACGTGAGGATACTCAGCTTCCATCAGTCCAATCAGAGCCCAGGCTGTTTGGACAACGAGGGAGCCTGAGGGATGTTCGACGTATGTCATCGTTTCGCAAGCCTATTCTTGTTAGCAAGAGCCGTGAAGCAAAATCCGTGTACGTACCTTGTAGCTTTCTGACCATCCGCCATCAGCTCTCTGTTTGGAGATGAAGAAATCGCAACCACGTCTAGAGTTCTCGCCTGTTGCATATGTCTGACCGATGTGCTTCATGCTTTCAAGGGCAAACATACCAGCGTATGTGAAGCAGATACCCCAACTTCCATACCAGCTACCATCGGGTCCTTGGTTGGACTTGATCCATTCGGCGGCCGTCCGAATAAGTGTCCTGACCTCGTCCGTTCGGTAGTCTGGCCAGTGCTTGTTGAACATGGATAAAGCTGTCACGCAAGCTGTTGTGCATTCAGGGTAATCGTACTCGATCATGATACGACCAAAGACCTCAGCGGCATTGAGCATTTCCAACCACTCGCCTCCTCGTCGCTTCTCGTATGAGGACATGCCACCATTGTCGTTCTGGTATAGGAGCAGAGTATCGACAGCGTCGAAAAGACGTCGATCTTCGAGAACCTCGGGAAGGCCGCCCACCTTCTGCAGAAGAATAATTGCCTTTAGTGCTTCTGAAATGCAATCACTGACACCGTACCCCTGATCCTTGTTGCTAAATGGCCAGCCACCCTTTCGGGGTTGACGATAGCACACTTCCTGGTCGACACAGTCCTCTCGAATCTGCTGGCGTTCCAAGTAGTGCAGTGACTTCATGAGCATGGGTCGGTACTTTTCATGCTCATGAAGGCCGGCCTCGAAAACTGCCTGAATCAAGAATGCCGTGTCCCAACATTGTACGCCGTTGGTGCCATTAGCCAACATGCCCTCGTCCTTGACCCAAAGGTACTCTTCGAGTCGCTCTATATGCCTCTTGACACCATAATTATCAGGACCATCGCGAGCATAGCACAAAACAGTGTTCATAGCAGCGTTGACAGGGGCCAAGCAGGCATAGCCTGTGTTAGCATCCTCCATATCGACTTGCTTGCTGGCCCATGCTTCGGCTTTCTCTTTGAGGAAATTGGGTCGCAAATAGGGCATCCAAATATTGGCAAGCACCCAATTGGCGGCGTTGAGAAACCATGATTTGGGGTGATAATTGTCTATAACGCCAATGCTGTTGCGATGGGCTGACCAGTTTATCTTGGCGTAATCCTCAAGGAATACTTCTTTCTTCAGTGATCGAATCACATCAGTCTCTTCGCAGCTCCATCTTTTCGAGTATAGCCAACCCATTGGTAGGAAAACCATTCGAATGTGAATCCACCACCTCCATGGCGCGAAAGGAACCCAATCAGGAAGCAGCCAAAATTCCGGTGGCACAGGGTTGACGATATCCCAGCTCATGAGTCCTAAAACAGCCATCCAGAACTTGGCCCAGTGTGGCGCATACAATGCTCCTCCCATCTTGTGTAGGGTTCCTCTGGCCTTAACCAGAACTGGGTCCTCAGGGTCGACGCCGAGAAGTCGAAGGGCCACATAATTCATCAGTGTTCCGAAGACGCTGCTTTCGCCTTCGATATGTAGACCCCAGCCACCGTCCACTGGATGCGCCCGTGCGGATATGTATTTATAGATCGCGGTCGCTTTGGCAGAGGAAACTGGAGTCCTGGTGACATACCAGGTCATGACGATACCGGGGAGGAGGAACATAGGACCGCCATATTCGCAACCCCAATGCCCGCTGGGGAGTTGAAGCTTTTCGAAAAAGTCGAGACCATTCTCTGCGGCTGCCAATGGGTTTTCGGGGGTGGGAAGGTCAGGGAGATCCTGTGCCCGACATGTCAGTTGAGATTGATAGGGGAAGGCAAAGAACATACCAGAGGCAAATTCAAGTACCATTTCTCGGCATAACTCTGTGGCCACTCCTTCGCGTCATCGTCATTCTCAAGGTAGTGCCACGTGTGACGGCTGTCGTCGTCCTTGAGCCTCCATCTTGTCGTGTCCAACTGCGAACTGATACGAGGCTGCTTGGGGAATGGCTGACCCTGTTTCAACAGCGGTTCCGACTCGGAGTCAGCAGCGCGCTTACGCGACTTTAGCGCGCTGCTCTCACGTCCAGTAGAATTTGCGACCATGTTTGGAGCAGTTCGATGGTCTCAATGGCAGGTTTCGTGGGTCAATTCTGAGAAGAGCAGTGGAGTGATCATGACAAACTCCCAGATGAGCATACATGCTTTAAAACTAAACTATAACACGGGGCCGGATGGAATTACCAGCCCGCTGTACGCCCCGACGTACGGGAGGGCCCGCCGTCTTCTGGTGGCACCTGCAGCATATCATATCCCCCATGTCTAGCGGTCAAGCCCCTGAAAATCAATTAACTCTCGGGATTGGACAATCTTGAAAACCTCCACATAGCAGCATCACACATTGCGACTCTACTGCGTATTCGGAAGATCTTGAACTTTACTTACGAAAATCACCAAAGTTCTAAGCTTGTTTTAACAAGCGCCAAGAAGACATGAACGAAGAGGCAGAAATTGCTCAATCAATTGCTATACCAGAACTAGCCCAGAGTCCCCAAGCTAATCGCACATCATCAGCGACAGCGAACGAGAATACTGATACGAATACGATAATCAACAACCCCAATGCTGGAACAGTCGTCACACGCATTGAGGATATTCTTGCGCAAATCATCGGTGCTTTAGCTGCGGGACAAGAGCTCTCAATTCCATTTTCTGCACGAAGGTCAACACGTCGCGCCGCAAACGCACAGCCAGAACAGGTTCGCTTCCCGGGTCGTAACCAGCAGGAAGCAGTCAAGTTTGGTCAGGTTTCGGCAGAGTTGTCTCTGTTAATTTGACTAACAAGTCGCAGCGCGCATACTTCTCATTCTTCAACTATCACATGATGCTCTTGTATCTGGCACCGTTCTAACCAAGCGGTTAGTGCATTGGCCCTAGGTGCAAGGGATGTACTAATGATCCGTATGCAGCCACATATTTTACCAACACCAGCATCTCTTTGAGAAGCAAGGCCAAGTAGATGACCTCGTTGATGACATTGCCTTCAATCTTGGTATCGGTCGGGGGGATCTGAATATCGTGCGCCTTGTGAAAAGCTCCCATAGTACTTCAACTAACTGGAACAGGTTGCGGCATCAAAGGGTGCCCTGGCTGGACCGTTGCTAATCCGCTTCCACAATGGGAGTACGCTGAACCCTTGTTCGGGAGATCTGGTAAGGAATCTTAGCTGTGACTCTTTGCTCGATTCTGAGTGATGTAGGGAGTTGCTATCCCGACTGTTCAGTCGATCTCAAGCATCGACGTTCAACACATCAAATGGATCCTTGTCATTGAGAAAGATGTAAGACGTACAAAGTCTTCGTCGCTTCAGCGAAGCTGACTTGTGAAGGCCGTTTTTCGATCTCTCTGCTCGTCTCAGTTTTGGAGAACCTGCATCTTCGGTCCTGGAGTGCTTGTCACAGTATGCTTGGACAATGTGATTCTTGAAGTCTGAGCTGACTCAAGCAGGCCAAAGGATACCCCGACTTGACCACGCGCTCGTTTCTGAATTTTGTTCATACACAGCACCCCCAACTGCCACTCCTGGGACTGTTTGACTATGATCCCGACGGCGTCAAGATCTTACGATGCTACCGACACGGATCCGAAAGACTAAGCCACGAAGCTGATCTCGGTATAGAGGCATTGCGGTGGCTTGGTATCAGATCAATGCATCTCTCTCGTGGTAATACCAACACCTCACTCAGCAACTACGGACAGCCAAGCCATGCGTCTATCACATCAATACAGTGCCGTGATCCTATCACCTATCTGAATAGTAGAGAGCGGGCAGCAGCTATCTCAACACTGAAGAAGACCAGCTTTCACTCTCCAAATGAGCTCGAAGGCTCAGAACTACGACTCGAGTTGCAACTGATGATGATGCTTGGTGTCAAAGCAGAAATTGAGTGGCTCGATGAGTCTGGGGACTTGTGTTCATGGCTAGAGGGTGAAATCGGAGAAGCACTCATTAGCGAGAGAATCTGAATTGCATGGAATAGTTGAAGGTTAATCTGCTATGATCTGTGGTGAAGGAGTTTATGTTCAAGGCAAAAGAGGAACATGATTTATGTACCATGGCGGCTAGCTGTCTGTTTCCTCACCCTTTTCCGTGAAATCGAGTATGAAAATTGAAATTGACTACCCTGCAGCGATCTACACTCCACACGGTGCGAAAATAGCGGGGTATCTAACCACACAGTCCCCTCACCTTCATAAAATTTTATATTCTTGACATGAAAACATCCTCAAGCGCATCATCATGGCACCCAAACTCACGGAAGAAGAGATCGATGATCTCATTTACTTTGCACGAGCAGGAGAGCAGGAAGACTTGACTGAGACTCTCAAGAGCTTGGCGGAACGAGAGAATGTCAGCCCTGCTGAGATTGTAGCGGCTGCTCAAGATGCTTCCAACAAGTCAACATGTTTACACATGGCGACAGGAAATGGCCACCTAGGTATGTCCAACCCTGAGAAAATAAAAATTTGCGAGGCCTAGGGCCTGCTTTTGCACATAGCTGTGAAATAATACCAGGCTGACACCTTGTAGAAATCGTCAGACAACTCATCCAATATTTCGATACCCAGCCAAAGGAGCAGAAGCAGGCATTTTTAGACGAGGCAAACGAGGCCGGAAACACAGGTCTTCACTGGGCAGCACTAGGCGGTCACCTCGACGTCATCAAGCTGCTCCTGGAGCAAGGCGCTTCTCCCGCGCTGGCAAACGAGCAGAACTACGTTCCTCTCGATTTGGCGTACTTCAACCACAAGAATGACGTTGCCGAGTACTTCTTGTCAACTGCCAAGAAGCTTGAGGAAAAGAACCAAGAAGAGGGTGGCTTGAGCGCTGCTGTTGGGTCAGTTGAGATTGAGGAGGGAGATGATAAGGCTGAGGAGAAGAAGGAGACTTCATAGAGGGATCAGTCAAAATGGAATTTGGATTGGGAAAAATCAATCTTGATAGGTGATTTTTGTGACGCTGGAAGCTTCGGAAAAGGATAGGGAGTTTGGGACTATATGAGAATAACGAAAAAATATGTTTTAAACGAAAACTGCAGGGACGCGAATCCAACTCAAATCATATCTACCAAGGATTGAAGCATGTAACAGCAAGGATTCAGCTTCCAGCGCTGTGGCAGGCTATATAGGATGATACATGTTCCGGGAGGCTTTTGTCGGTGACTACTATAAACTTCATTATCTCTGTTAGATATTAAGTATTACTCTATAAATGCTTTACAACAATCAAGTAGTCGAGTTAAGAGGATATCTAATGTACCAGTAACGGAAAGGAAATGTGTTTAAGTGTGCTATATAGTACAGATCATCTGCTAGGTGGAAGGTACCTTATATAGAGTAAGAAAACCAGCCCCGTACCGTTATAGCCTCCAACCGTTATATATATATATATGAAATTATGACCCCAAGCCCTTGGTAGACCAGCCCGTCTCTTATAAATACGTAACTATCATTCTTTCCCACTGACAGGCCTTTTAGTTTGTGGAGTGAGAGTCACACTTTCAAGGCGGCGTATAGTGTTTCTTTTGCTGGGTTATTTCGACCAAGGCATGCCTTGCTGAGATATCATGGGATTCTCAAAGAAGTCGGCGAAGAGTAGAAATAGACAATTCAAGCTCATCGTGATGCCTCTTGCAGAGAGGAGCAACCTCATTCATGATCTGAAGTCCACATCCACTTCTACTGCAAGTATGTCGAGGGCAGTATATGGAGTATTGGGGACCATTCCTTGTAGTAGAAACATCTGAGAAACAATCAAACTCCTGGGCAGAGCAAGTATGCCTCCTACAGAACAATCCCTTCAGACCAGCGCGAGAAACATGAACCTGATCCTGGCAGGACCCTGAAGAACAGGTATCGTTGGGGCGATATTCGCGTGAATCGCGTCTGACATTATTCAACCTTCGCCTCCTGTCGCTGGCATAAATCTCGCCACAACGCCTCATCATGCCGTGTAAATCTCTTTCCGTTCTGCCAACTACAGAAGTCATTTCAACAAAGACCTTATCATCCTCCTCAATCTTCCTGGCCTTTTTATTGGCGCATTTCTCGCAATCACCTCCAACCTTCACAATAGCGTACTCCCTTTCGATAGGGGAACCTGGTGGACTCGTGTCAGATCCTGGCTTCAGTGCTAACGTATCCTCTATTAAACAGCCGTGTCTGTCATTGCAAGGGAGTAATGCACCCTGGGCATTTTCCATGTAATGGGGTTCGCCATTGCTAGAGCAAGAATACTGGAGTCTAAGAATGCGGCACATGCTAAACTGTTTTTGACCGAGTCTTTCAAGATGGTAGTTCTGCCGCTGAGACTTGTGGCTGAGAGCTTAAATCAACACAGTGAACTTAGCAAGACTTTCCGTATGACTTGTTTTGGGATTTGTCTCTTGGTGTGGTTGCTGTAATTGGTGGACCAGGAGGTGTAGGTGAAGGGCGATCGAGAATACTGGATGGATTTGTTACTGGGACTGAATGATAGTAACGGGTTAGGGAGTGCATTATATATGGTTTTTGAAATGTACTTGCCCGGCTAACAGAACGCACCAGTTGTCCAGGATCAACATGCGAGCAAGTGTTCTTTCATGAAGAAATGTAATAACATCGGATCTCTCGAACAAAGACATAAGAATCCGAACAATAGCGGAGTTTAACTCTAACTTATTTGTTCAGTGCAGGCTATTCTGCCATGTAACGCAGTGCTTGTAACTGTGAAATATTTGAACACCAAGGAGGTTTTCTAGTACTCAATGATATTATAACACATTCAAAGTTCTCCGCGATAGTCTATGATGTAGCTCTGGGGACTGTTGGCTCAAACTCCGGCTGGAACACTCCCATTAGAGAATAAAACCTTGAAGCCCTAACCTTTTCACGCTATTGGAATTACACACGCATCTACAGACAACTAAGCCCGGGCTCTTCTGGTTCAAAACCTAGATCTGCTTCTCTAGTGATTCTGCCACTAGCGAGAGTGTTTCTCCAACGACATGGACGATCTCGTAGACTTGTATGCCTTTACAAGTTTCTGCCCAAAGCTTCACTGCTGCAATAGCCAAACGTCTTATCCTGCCAGGAAAATCGGATTTGGGACCTAGCGAAGCCTCTAGATGAGTTTCTTCGACTAGACGGTCGACCATAGAAAGCAGGCGCTTTTCCTCCTCTCTGAGAGCTGACGCACCATCCGATAGAACCAGCTGATAAATGTTTTCAAGCCAGTGGGTAAGTAGAAGGGCGCATCCAAAGTGACTGATAGCATGCTGGACACTCCAATGACCCGTACGGCCACGCGCCACGAATGCAATGCCGACTCTCACAGGTATCCTCAAAGCGTAGATAGCATGAAGAACAGCTTGATCAAGATGTGGGGCACGCAAGGGCAATGGATTCTGATACGACTCGAATACTTGAGCTTTGACGATAGGATCTCGAGATAGCAACTCGCATTGACTGTAGAGGCCAAATCCAAGATGAATATGAGCCAGTCGGAGCATCGCAGTCGAGTTGAAAGGTAGAGGCGAATTCCTAGAGGAGGGATCGGGGGCAGATTCGATAGCAGAGTCCCAGCAAGATTGCCACGCGCCGAGTGCAGCAGCATAAGTCGCAATGGTACTCTCTGACAGACTTGGCGATGGAGATAACAGGGCAGACGATACTTGGCGCTCAAAGTAGATCTGTATCAGCAAACTCTGAATAAGCATATAATTGCCAAACTCTGTTGCCGAGACCTCCTTGGATAGTGGTTCTCCAGATAGCAATTGTTTAAAGCATGACCGAAAGTTGAGCTTGCGTGGGTCGACCTTTCGTCTTACACGATTCCATGTTTCCGAGTCCGGCGCGTTGAATTCAACTTCGGAGCAAGGAAGTTCGAAGCTAAACTCTGTAGCTGTCATTTGAGGCGGCACGTTGAAGCAGATGGTTTGAATATTCAATGTGAAATATGCCGAGAGAAGGGTGCGTCGTCTCTCTTCATCGCGGCCCCAATTCTCCCATGTATCATCAGCATTTTCCTCTGGTAGACGTTTCAGGATGTCGCGGGTCAGAGTAGTTAACTGGCTACTCATAGCGAGTGCCTCTTCTGCAAGTGGTCCATCTAGCCACGACATAGTCATCACGGCAATCAACAAGGATTGCAACAGTTCAATATCGAATTTGGATAAAACCGCAGGGTGATTTGTTGGTGGATCGTAGACTTCTGTAGAGCTTGTAGGGAGAGCTGCAAAACGGGGGAAGCCGTTGAGAATATGGCGATTTGATGCACGGCGTCTGTCCTCTAGCTCATGGTTGATCATAGCTTTGGCCACGAAATACATGGCGTACCCCTGAGGGTGCTCAAATCCATAGAATGATCCTGTAGCTGCCAGTGTCAAGAGAAGCACAGGTGACATGGATTCCAGATTGGTAGTCGGAAGGTGGACGAATGGTAAATGTGGATGGTAACCTCGTATCCAGCTTGCGATATATCGAGATAACGCATGTCTGCTAGGAAGTGTAAATGATTGGGGTATATCTGACCTGTGCTTCGAGAACTCTATGGAAAGCCTTTCATGAGCAGCAGCCGATACAGCCCAGGGATTTGTTGCTACAATGTCTTCTGTAGTATCCAACAACCTGTCAACCTTGTTTCGAACTGGAGCTGTTTGGGTTTGTCGTTTCTGGCAAAAAGGTAGAGTCGACGTTGACGTGCTGCTCACTTCTATACGACCAGGTGCCTCTAACTGTAACTGGCTCGATGGAGCAGGCGCAAGAACTGGGTCGGGAATAAAAGACTGAGTAAAAAAGTTTGCTGTATCCGGTGTGAATCCTTGATGCGAGTCTTCAGGGGGAAGAACCTCCCCGAGATAGCTATTGATCATGTCCATCTCATCAGGAAACATATCTGCGTTGAACGACTCGAATTGCATAAAGTCAAGATTATCCAAAGCGCCCGCCGGGGTTACATTGCTGCTGTGTATGGGATCTTTCGGTGGCTCAAGGATATGGCTTGGTGTCTGCTCTTGGTAAACTAGTGGCCGCTCATGAATTGAAAATCGGCTCATCATATCTTGTTGGGAAGACATGGTTTGGGGAGAGATTGCCATAGGCACTAAATTAGAGGGGTTTCCTTGAGACGGTAGCTGGTTGCTGTGATGGTTGTTTTCATCGCTAGCTTGTGAGATAGAGGGTGAAGTTGTCACAGCCCCGTCGGGGGATATAGCCAGATTTGATTCTGCTTGTTTCCCTGGGCCGTTGACAGAGCACTGAGAAAGTCGGCGATGACGATTCAGTAGATCTCTAAAAGTATGATCAGTACTGTCCCCAGATAGGCGGATCTTGACGTCTCACTGTCTTGTAAACGTTCGGCCGCATGGACACCCATATGGTCTTTCACGCGTATCTTGTAGAGTGATTAGCCTCAATCCAACAGCAGCATCCAGTATAGTGACTTACGTGTACGAATGTGCCTTTCGAGATGTTCTTGTCTCTTGAACTCCTTATTGCAGAACCTGCAGAGAGGCACAGGAAGCCGAGGTCTGCCTTTCATGGTGTAAAGTGGGACGTGTACTCCGTGATATCATCGGTGCTGTATAGTGGACTGCATCGTTGAATACAGAAGTGGCGACGTGAGATAAGTCTGAGGGGGAGGGGCATCAACATTGGTCAGCTTCAAGATCTTCATACCAAGCAGGCCAGACAGGGAGTGTTCGTGGAGCGTAGTCAATAACTGACAAAAGAACTGGGGTTGGTCTCAGGGCCCTTGAGACCGGCCCGGTCGAGTGGAGCCACGTGACGGTATCACCGCTAAACCGGTAACTACGACCGCTAAAATCCAGTGACATACAGTGACCTCGCAGCACTATTCCCCATTATCCAGATAAAGGCACCTTAGCCAAAGTTTAATCTCTCGATTACTCAACCTCTTTGCATTAAGCGACTTTTCTAACTAATTGCTTCCTCAATTTAGTGTACACTATGATCTACTTTTATCTTCTCCGGGCCTTTATAACGATCGTTCCCGGGCTTACAACACTTCCCGGTGGTTGAGCAACCTTGACTACTTCAGCGCCGACCTGGTCTTCGCCAACAACCAAGTTGATCTCCATCTTCATAGCTTCAAGAACCGCTACAGTCTGTCCTGCCTCCAGGATATCACCAGGCTTGACGAGGACCTTCCAGACATTCGCATTTACAGGTGACTCAATAACAGCAACCTCGTCCGAGTCAATCTCGCCATCGTCATCTGCACCACCACTAGATTGTTTTGAGATGGTCCATTCATCGAACAGCCTCTGCTCCAGTGCAGCAAGCTCGTCAGCTGCCTTTGATTGGCGCTCTCGCCATGCTTGGTACTCCGGATCCTTCTCTGCTGAATCAAATTTGGCGATGTACTGGTCCATATCGATGGATGTTTCGCTAATGTCAAAAGTATACTGACCAGCCTCGAAATCTCGCTCCATCTTGTCATATTCTTGTTCAGTCACCTCATAGAAACTGACTAGATCCAGGTGGTTGAATAGCCAAGGCTTCTTGGGAGAGAAGCCAGGCCGGTTACCTGTTGAATCCCAGCCACCAAGTGTTCGGCCCATAAGTTGGTATCCTCCGGGTGCAGCAACAGGATATATGGCGACTGTTGACCCTCCCAATCCTACCGAGCCACTAGGCGTATAGCCTCTACTGGGATTATATTTCTGACCTGTCAACACCCGCCATGGGTCGAGAGGGAATAGGATCGGTGTTCCGACGAAGAAACCAACGGCAACAGTCAACCATGGGGTTTTGAGAAGAGAGTCCAACACGTCTCGGCGCGTCGCAAGAGCATTGTTCTTGCGAAGATATTCGACATTGTCTGGGAGATATGCAGCTGTCGGTCTGATACTTTCCATATACCGCTGCGCCGACTCCTCGAGTGAAGAGTGGTCGAGGCAGACAGGCAGTCTTATTTGTCGAGCAGGGATCTTCACCCCGCTAGTATCGTCAATGCTCGTATCAAAGGTCAGAAGGTGATGGAGAAGCTCAGAACGATCTATATGGGCTGGATCAAAGCGCACAGTGAGGGTGGCAATGTTAGGATCGCCTCGCACACTGGGCAGTTTTGCTGCTGCCAGCTGTTGAGTGAGCAGTTGGACGCAGACTGTGTTTCGCAAGTCCGAAGTCTGGTGACCATACTGAACGATTATGCTGGTATCACCTCCCTGACGATATATTACCTGGGGATGTGCGCCCCTTGCGGGTGACTGATGGAGGATAGAGGATGGGGCCTTCGCGGCGACGGTCGTTTGGAGAGCACTTACATCCCCAGATTTTCCATTAGCGAAGGCTGTCAAAGCTTCGAGATAGGCTTTTTTCTCATGAGTGATCTTCAGAGCATCCTCGTATGACACTGACTGCAGCCGAACGGTGTCGCCCGGCTTGAGTTGACCGAGCTTCCACATTTCCCCAGAGCAGATCGTCGTTGGGCAGACAAAGCCACCGAGATCAGGTCGGTCATTAGCAAATATGATGGGAGACTCTCCAGTGAAGTTGACGCCACCATTGGGATACCCGTACTCGAACACATTAGACGGGTGTGATCCTCCACCTCCTCCAGATGTTCGAGCCCACTTCAATCGCGGACCTTGCAAGCGTATGCCACTTCGGCCGCTGTTATGGCTGACACTCCATTCCCCTTCATACAACGTTTTCGATCCCTCTTCTGTGAGGATATCATCAGAGCCGTACGGCCCATCGATACAGCAGATAGTGGTACTTCCGAATTTGGGTACGTGATAGGATGGAAGGGTGAACGTTGTCGCTTCAGCTGCTTGCACCTTGGAATCAGGGCTTAAGGCGAGGATATCGTGTGTCTGGAGTTTTCGACCTTGGTAGCCACCGAACCCAAGCTCTGGGGCGGTTGACTTGGACCCGAGGAACGCTGGGACGTCGGGAAAGCCACCTCTAACAGCGAGGTATGCTCGCGCACCACTTCCAGTGACTTTACCTAGACTCAAAGTCTGGCCTTGTTTGACCACAAGTCTGGACCATAGCGGCTGTGGGCTACCATCGACCGCAATGGGAAGCTCGGCACCACAAACGCTGACAATCGCAGCCTCATGAAACAGCAACTTGGGACCAGATAGGGTCACCTCCAATAACTCAACTCCTTCATCGTTGCCGACCAAAATGTTTGCTATCCGAGCACTAAGATCATCCATGGGTCCTCCTGGGGGCACGCCGTGTCCAACAGAGACGCGTCCTGGATAATCTTGGATGGTGGTGGATACACCAGGCTCAAGGACTTGCATGGAGCAACTCTTAAACTCGAAAGTCGATAGCGAATTGGTCAGGGTGTTCCCGCTTGCGAATAGCTCAGAATCGAGAATTGCAGAGAGGTACTCAAGGTTGGACTGTGTTCCCTGAAGTTTTGTATCCGCCAGTGCTGCGAGCATCTTGCGTCGCGCAGCTTCTCGACCGTCGGGGCTATGTACCATAACCTTACCGATTAATGGATCGTAAAGAGAAGTGATTCTCTGGCCGCTTTGGACCCAAGTATCAACTCTCACACCATGGCCCTGTGGCCAGTGGACGTGTTGGAGAACACCAGGACTGGGTGCGAAGTTGCAGAGCGGTATCTCGGCATAAACACGAACTTCGATCGCTGAACCAAGGGGCTGCGGTCTGCCAAGGCCCTTGAGAGTCTCAGAAGGGATGCCAAGTTGGCCTTGAAGTTCATAATCTGCTTGTCTTAACATCAACTCGACCAGGTCAACTCCGTAGCACAGCTCAGAGATACCATGCTCCACTTGTAATCGAGTGTTCATCTCGAGAAAGAAGAACTGCGCAGTGTCGTCGTCAACAAGAAACTCGACTGTACCAACGCTCTTGTACTTCAGCTGGAGTGCATAATTGATGGCCGCATCGAGCATTCTTTCGCGTAGTCCTGCGTGGCGTTCCAAGAATGGGCTCGGAGACTCCTCGACTACTTTCTGATGGCGTCTTTGGAGCGAGCACTCGCGTTCTCCAAAAGCGACAACAATCTCACCGTTGCCTGCCACTTGGACTTCGATATGGCGAGAACGAGGGTAGTACTTCTCCAAGAATACTCCCTTGTTCTTGAAGAGTGTACCAGCGCGACTTTCGACCATCGCAAACGCCTTAGCAATCTCATCTGCTGAATTACAGATCTGAAGGCCCATGCCACCGCCGCCTCCAGTGGCCTTCAGCATGACCGGGAAGCCCAATTCTGTCGCCGCTTTGGTAGCTTCTTCAGCAGACGCTAATAGTTGAGTGCCAGGGATGATTGGAACATTGGCCGATTGCGCAATACCTCTGGCCTCGTGTTTTAGGCCCATGGCTCTTATTGAAGCTGTGGAGGGGCCAGCAAAAACGATGCCAGCAGATGAAATCGTGTCAGCGAACTCTGCGTTTTCACTGAGAAAGCCATATCCGGGAAATACAACATTTGCACCTGTACGCTTGCAGATGTCCAATATGGCATCCCTATAATCCATTGATAATTAGATGCTGTCAGTTGATAAGGTGAATCCTCTCTGCTTACCCATCTGTATAAGCCGAGCCATCCTCGCCCGGCAAAAGGATTGCTTCGTCTGCCAACTTCACATGCAAAGAAGTTGCATCTGCATTGGTGAAAACTGAAACAGTATTAAGTCCAAGTTTCCTGCAGGCATTTATGCAGCGAACAGCAATCTCGCCGCGATTCGCTATTAACACCTTGTTAATGTGTTGTAGTGGGTGTAAGTCAAGTGAACCCATGACTGCGGCGGAGGCGAATTGGAGGGTTCAGTAAAGGAACAAGATACGATAAGACAGATGTGAGAAGAAAGGTAGTTTTTGGGTAAATGTCCGAAAAATTGGACTTATTATGAATTGATCAAAACCATGGGATAAACGTATGAGTTGAAGAGCGGCAGATTGGAGGTGTTATCAAAACTGGGGATAGCCTCTCCACCTCCAGGTCAAGAAGCACTATCTCGATAGCTTATCTACCCCAACGCGGGGTGATCAAAAGAGGTAAGAATTCGGGCACACGGGATTTTTGTTCTTATTACGGCAAGCCATTGGGGTAGAAATTGGAAAGTGTAACATGATTCCCATGTCAGTGAGCTCATCGAGACCAAAAGGGATACGGATGTACAAGTGCTGCGATGATCTATAGAGGCTATTACAGAAACATTTGGTAGCAGGCTAATGTTTTCGAGCTGAGAGATGCTGAAACCCGTATCTCCATAATTAAGTAAGTATTGGAAAGCAAACAGAGGGTATCATGCCAGTATTTACATGGGACTTTGAGAATCGTTGGTACGTATCAAGCTTCAAGGTTAACAAATGCGATCAGGATGTGACGCTGCTCAATTAAAAATGCCATCATTTGATTCAAACTAGCTAGAAGAAAGAGACTACTTGGCAGGACGACATTGACGCTCTGCTTTGCCACCATTGAAGCTTAGTACCTGAGAGACACAAGATCAATGAGCAGTCGCGCCGTAATGCTCAATGAGATTCCAATAAGAATGCGCGGTCCATCTTCTCAGAGGCTTGCCAACATATATCATCATGATCGCAGTGCACCAGACAGCCTCTCCCAGCACGGCAATGAGGATGAAGGCATTGCGAAGTCCAAGGTTCTCAATCATTGGAACCACGGCGTACCCAAATGCGAAACCTGAATAGTGTTAGTAGCGAAGATATGGTGATTGAAGTGTGTACATACCCATCATGTTGCGAATCAAGATGGTCGATACAAGACCTTCGCCGGCGACCTCCTTGTAAGTGTCAAGGATATAAGTGAAGGCGAGATTGGAGCCCATGGGAAGAGTTACGCAGATCAACCCGAGGCCAAAGACAACTCCAAACCAGTGGATATGATACGAAGCGCCAACGCCATACAATAGACAGCCTGCCGGATGCATGACAAGCGCGACAAGACAAGTCCAGAGACGCTGCTCGGGTTCCATAACACCTCCATTTCGACGGGCAAGGAACAAGGCTAGGGAATCTGACATCCAACCCGAAAGGAAGCACCCGATAGTGACGCCAACAACAGAAGCAAGGTACGTGAGTCCAATGTTGTTGGCGCTAAAGTTGTAAGGAGGATTCCCCAGGATCAGAGCTAGAGAGCCTCCAACGACGTTGTACCAGGCAAGGATTCCACCAACAAGAAGACCACCAAAGCCGATACCGGGGAACGAAAAGAGCAGACGAATGGGGAGGAAGAAGAGCTTGAAGGTGCTAGGCTGTCGCGAGTCGTGATAGCCCCAGACCTTGAGCTTCCCCATATAGGTCTTTTCGCTCTCACCTGTTGTATACGCTGTTGCCTCCATAGATTTTGATGTAGACTTCTCATCTTGGACTGAAGGGTCTTGCATCTCTGACGGAGTCTCGATGTCTTTTCCGACTGTCGCAGAGGCTTTGATGGTAGCTGGGTCGAGCGCAGCTGCATCAGACAGGGTTCCGACGTCGTGATGGCGGTAGAACATGGTCTCCTCAAACAGGAAGAAGGTGATGACGGCAACGCTTCCTCCGATTATGGCGAGGATATACTGGATCCATCGCCAGCCGAGCTCCTGGGCAACATAGCCAGATGCGACGGGTGCAAGGAACGCGCCGCACCATAGAGTCCAGCTATAGGCACCCATGTAGAAGCCTCGGTCATGGGCGAAGAAGATGTCTCCAATAATGACCTCGATGAGAGTCTCTTGGGGCGAAGCACAGATACCAAGGAGAACTCGGTTGGTGAAGAACTCTCCTCTTGACTTGATGAACGCAGTCCAAAGAGTGATTCCAGTGGTGAGAATGACAGAAACAATAAGAGTGAGGCGTCGGCCATATGTAAGAGCAACGCATTGAGTAATCATCGTTCCCCAGCCGAGGAATAGGAATAGAATGCCATTGCCAGTACTCAGATCAGCGATCGAAATACCCGTGTCTTCCTCGATCAAGATGTATGCTGGTGACAGGCCAGAAATCATAGCAGCCACGAAGAAGCACCATACCATGGCGCAGATGATATTCCTTGTCTTTCGGGGGATACTCCAACGAAGAGGATCATCGGGGTCATCAGTGGGCTGCGGAACGAGGACGATGTCGCGTGATTGTTGGCCATGCTTCACGTTGAAGATGCCTTGGACATCAACGAGCTGGACGGTTCCAGGAATGGCGACTCCAGAAGTCATTGCACTGGTATTTGATCACGAAATAAATATCAACAAGACAAAGGGACAGCAATGAGAATTCTGTGGATTTTGAGAAGAAAAGTACTTAAAGACTGCACCTTGTTTTAAACCACCACAGCCATGCAGATCATCGAGACATCTATATGATTTATACTACCCTATTATCACGTACTAGACGAAGTGGCTTGCGATAGGCAATCTAGACAACCTATTTCTACCCCAACCTTTCGACTCTTATCGCGCGACCCTTGATATGAGGGACAGGGGCCTAGGAGCTAAGCTACTATCCCCGCATTGATAGCTCGTCATGTGTGGCCAGGACCGGCATTCTTTGAGGGCAAATTGAGTGGTCTGGACTTCTGGCCATCTTATGAACATTCTTAGCGAAGAACGAGTCAAGTTCTCACTGGGTGGTGTGTCAGGCAGCCATGTTGTCGGTACGTCTCGTCTGCCGATCTGCTGCTTGGGCATAGTTAAAGGTTCAAATCACGATTATAGAATGTAAGCATTTTCAGAGTGAATATTTAAAGTTATCAGGTTTTCAAAATCATGCAAATCAGTCTGTTACCTAGCTTTCAATTTCTATGAGAACCAGGTTTCCTTCTGTATTCATCCTGTTAGGATAATATCTACAACCTATGGCCATTGGTTTTCTGTGAAGAAAACTTCTTTCGGTTCGCTTCATCCACTGCCTGTCGAACCAGCTTCGCATTTTCCAACACAGTCGGCGAATCAGAATGCAGACATATGCTGAACGGCTTCCCCTTGAATCCAAAGTTGAATGCATCGCCATTAATGTCCTTCCCTGTATCCTTCATAGCCGCACCAAACGCCCGTTCATGACATAAATCCGGTGTTACAGGATGGGATTGCGCAAAAGGAACAAGCCTTCCTTCTGGTGAGTAGTCGATATCAACATAGACCTCTCCTTGGAACGGAACGCCCATCTCATTACACATGGCCTCTTGTTCCGGGTTCTGGCAGGCGTATACAGGAACTTTGAAAGTTGCACAAGCTTCTAGTACAGCTCTCATTATGCCCTTGTCTCTTTGCATGTAGAAGAAGAGTTCTCCGTGAGGTTTTATGTGAGAAAGCTCAACACCTTCGGCGTCCAACATGGCCTTTAGGGCTCCGACTTGATACAAGACCATTGCATACATGTCCTTGGGGTCAATTTCCATTTTTCGGCGTCCAAAGCCAAAGAGGTCTTGTAAGCCGGGATGCGCACCAGCTTTGACGCCATGTTGCTTGCAGAGACGAATTGTCTTGAGCATGATGGACGGATCACCAGCGTGGAAACCACATGCAATATTTGCTGCATCTATGAGAGGCATAAGTTCTTCGTCTGGACCCTATTACAACTTTGTTAGTAACTGGTAACAAACACTGTCTTTGATAGATCTTACCATTTTCCATCGGCCGAAGCCTTCTCCCATGTCAGCATTGATCTCATATCTTTGCGCTAAGCCAGTCATGATGCAGGATTTGTGACAGAATGAAAGATGATTCGACTTCGAGATAGGTCAACACTCGTGCTCAAGTCATGATTCGATGAGGAATTTGTGTTCATTATCTCTCCAATACACGTGATACCTCCCCCCGTTCAGTTGTCTTGTTACAATATGACGTTGCTGGTCGCTGAACCCCATGTAACATTGGAGAAGTTAGTCATGATTGCGGGATAGCTGTTGGGGTAGAAAATAATCATTTTGGGAAGATTGGGGTAGTAAGTCTGATAAGCAGTTGGAGCTTATCATACCCCTGTAGGTAGCCTTTATCCATGTCTTGATTGGATACCCTGGAGCACTCCATATTTGATATTGTAGCAACGGGAAGACTGGATCGATTGTTCTGTTTACGTAGGACTTCCGCAACAAGCTTCGATAGCCTTTCCTAGGGAGAAGAGCAGTCAGTATACAGTCGACTACATAAGTGTAATTCCTGTCTCATTCCGATAGCTCCTCCGTACCATCAAATTATATCTTGAGTTCCAGATATCGACGGATCTTTGACGATTAAAAGGTGAAGGGGAACATGAAATGATTGAAGGCAAACTGATGATAACTTACTTGGAGCCAACGAACTCTTCAAAGGATGTTTCAGCAACATCAAAAACTATGCCACCAATAGTTGAGTTGAAACAATCGTCGTTAATTATCTAACATTGTGTTCCGTCCAAGCAATGAAGTTGGTTAACCCGTGGCAATAAACAGGATACCTAGTCAAGTCATGACAATCTGACCTTTCAAGACAATAAAAGCACCAATAATCAGTCAATTTGAGACAGGGACATATCCTGAAGCTCTCCCTGTGATATGTACTCATCTGTCGCGTGTTTTGACAGACTAATGTAAGGGCCCATCAGGGTTCTCATCTACCAACCCTGTTGGTGTCGCTAAGCCAAGATACCTAAGTACTAAGCTTTTTGCTCGCAAAGTCTCGTCTTCAACTATTTTGAACTTCGTGAAACTTGGATTGAGTACACTATATATATCAGCAATTCCATAATTGGACCTATTGTCAGAATGGAGCAGGAACCCGTGGAGGATATACCCCATTGCCACCACCATCACCACCACCTGCAGTACCATACTCATCATCATCACCATGGCCCCTCTCACGAAGTCCCGAGGTCAATGGGGGAACAGAACAAAGCTCATTACAAGTATGACCCTTTCCTTGCTATGACTATCACAAGGACTAACTTGTGCCAGTAATGCTCCCCTAGCGCTATTTCGATGGCCTTGGATCATTGAACTGTGCAATCAAATATCAAAAGAGCTACGCGCGAACATAGACTGGATTGGTATCAAGCCACCATCTTCAAGACCGACAAAACTGTTAGATTACGCCTGCGGTGATGGTGTCGCGTCTCGGGTAAGATCCAACGACGGTAGCTGTTAACTCTATACTGATTTTTATCAGGCGCTCGCCCCATTCATGTCTACAGTGAGAGGCATGGACATAGCATCAGGAATGGTAGAACAGTACAACCAAATGGCATTGAAATCAGGCTACACCTCGACAAAAATGCGAGCTATTCAGGCCGATCTTATCGATCCCGAGCTGACACCGTCTTCCGAGATCGACACGCCAGGATTCTTTGATTTTGACGTCGTAGTCATGTGTATGGCTCTTCATCATATCGAAGACCCGGATAACATGATATTACAGCTCTCAAAACGGCTGAGACCAGGAGGAATTTTACTTATCGTTGACTGGGTTGCCAGCTCGGTGGGCAGCAGTGCTCAGGCAGGAAATCAAACGCTAGGAACGATTAGTAGAATGGGATTTCAAGAGAATGAAGTAAAAGGCTCGTATGATAACGCTGGACTTGAAGAGTGGGCGTGGAAATTGGCCTCGGCGCCGTCTCAAGTACCAAGAGAGATTGGTGGTGAGCAGCAATTGTTTTTTGCTCGTGGAAAGAAGCCATGTAGTTAGCACGAACTATAAACCTGATTTGATTTTGGTTAGTCACTAGATATAAATACTAGCAGTTACAATTTTCCCACGACGGCCTGGAATTCTTACCATAAGGGCGATCTTGTGCATGAGTTAGTTTCCCGAGTAGCCTCTGGTAAGTCTGGACACGTTGCTATGAGCTTCATGTGTCGGGTCATCTACTCGTACAAACTTGACAGAAAAAGGAAACCCCCGACTTTATCAAGATGCCAGATAGTCTTCACTCATTACCCCTGTCGTGCTCTTCAGCCCTATGTGACATTCAAGAGGTTGTTGTTAAATGCTTGGCTGTTGGTGCAATATCAACCTAAAGCCGTCACTGGCTACCGCGACAAAGACATCCACTATGACCAATAGATCGATCTGTAACTTGACGGTTTGCAGGGATTTGATGAAGTAACTCAGCCAGTCATGGGGATAATCGACAGACTGAAGGATTCGAGGCGCAGCAGATAATCCTTGTCGTCAGTCACACGATGACTCGTGTCCTGCTGAACCTTTCTCTTTTCAAGCTTTGTGGACAATACAATCTACAATCTGGCCAATTCCATGAGATTTGATAGTGATGCTCAATGAACACACCCACTTCGGAATACCACAGTCTTCCTGCATCTTGCTCCAGGCCACATGCTCCGAAGCTGTCAGGTGGAGCAAGACGAAATTAGCGGCCTGCATACGCCAGAGTCAAGAATGATAGGCCAAAAAGAAGCGATTGTGTTGATACGATTAGCTTATCTGACTGCTACAAGCGAGTCCCTGAGCCCATTGGATTCAGCATAATGATCCTTCATATTGTCTTGTGTCAGCTCATCTCCAGACACGAAGCTGTGCCTCTCCTTAGCTTGGCGTCAGCACAGCCATTCCTTTTAGGCATCCAAGCCATTTAAACGAGCGCCACGTTTCGGAATAGGCAAGGTGACAGGCTATATACCCGAGCTTTTTTCATTTCTCGTGCTGAGTCTCACCCTCTATTTTAACCTTATTTCTTCATTACCCATAATTCCCACCACCATATCAACAAAACCACTTAGATCACAAGACGTAAGCATTTTAACATATTTTCTGATTTTTTGGCTGATGTCTCTCTTTAGAACCAATATGAAGCCCCAAGTCCTTCTCGCGGCTGGTCTCGCTACCGTAGCTATAGCCGATCAATGGCCCATGGCCAAGGAGAAATGCGGTCGCCTTGGACCCATGGAATGGGACCCTAATGACCTTCCTCCCGATGTTAATGTCATGAATATTCGAATGTGTGCCGATCATCCTATGGGGGCTGGAAACTACTGGGGATGGGGCGAATATCTTCCTGACTGGTTTCCTCGCAACCCCTTTGCTGACATGGAGATCAACTGGCTTTGGTGGCCTTAGATTGGGGTCTGATGCGACATTGAATGGACATCTGAGAGATGAAGAACGTGATTATGAGTAGAGCCGCCAATTTAAGTGAATACAAGTTGTTCGACGTCTCGGTTAAAGGGATTTTGTATTCCAGCGAGGGTTTTATTTTTGCATTTCCCAAGACTTGACTCATAGATGAGACTGAACTATTTTTATTATGGACTTCAGATGCAAAAGAGCTCGGCAATCTCAGTGTTTGTAATGAAAATATGTACGTTTGAGATCCCTACCAGGGTTTGATCAGTATCCAGTCGTAAGTTCCCTCTTAACAGCATCCTCTAGAGTTTCTAGATCTTCCCGCTTGAGTCCAATTCTCTCGTTATCCGTCTTTTCGTAAAGCGTGCCACCCTCTGACCAAATTCGTCGAAGTGTATATGAAACAGCCTTGGGGTTTCCAGCTGCCCAGCCCTTCTTCTCGGCTTCCCTCAACTCATCAAGAGTGTAGCCTGAAACTTCCCACGGTACCCCTCCAGTCTGCTTCTCAAGCTCCTTCAGAATCTGCTTAGAGTTGACAACGAAGGATTGGACGATGAGAGCGCGGTTGAAAGACTCTGCGGGATGATGAAGAGCAGCGACTACAGCCTTTCCAACACTACCGAACATTAGCCAGAGCTCTAGAAAGCCTTGAAGAGTGATCATAATCAAACTTACTCAGGCATAGTTGTGAAACCAATCTTGCCCTCCCCATTATCAATTAAAACGGCCTTCTTGTTCTTATGATCAAATCCTCCGGCCTCAATAACGTCGGGCGACAGGGTAAAGTACATATCGATATATGGTCCAGTAACGACAAAGGTATATTTCAAGCCATTGGCGTTCTCTCGAATGTACTTTCGTACCTTAAGTTTCAACTGATGAGGCTTCTCACTGGCGCTCTGAGGACCGTATTCGATATCCGTACCGTATTCTGAAGGGAAAAACCACTTCACTGAACCAGACTCTGCTGCAAGTTTGAAGAGCTCAATCTGTGTCTCGATGACATTGCGTCCCACAGCGCTGATGACAGTGTCGACGCCTTGATAAGCCCTTTTTACATCTTCAGGATTATTGACATCTCCTGTGATAATCTTGACGCCCTTGGACTTGAGCTCTTTGATCAATTCTTGTTTTCTGGTCACTGTGTCTTCTGAGGTGAAGATGGCCACATGTTCCAATGCCGGTTGGGCGTTGGCGATAGCATTCGTGATATACCGCCCAATGTTGCCGGTAGCGCCGAAAACGAGAATACTCTTGGGTTGAAAGTCTGCCATTTTGATAATTTGAGTGAAGCTTGTGACTCCCAATATTCGCAAGTCAAGGCTGCGTTTATAGACAGTTTGAAGTTAGATTTGTAAGCTATGATCCCGTATCGAATTTATAAGCTGTAGGATCTTAGGGTTGGTTCTTGACTTTGTCCAGATTGGAAAGTGAATGATGATCGCAGAGGAGCTAATGTCAAAGCGCGCCCTTCGTTATCACGCCCTACATGAAGAAGTTGATAATGCTTAGGCAGTTCAGCTCATAGCGGGCCGAGGCGGGGTTGAGCACGATATATTGCTATGAATTGCCTAATGTGGTTGGTAGACCATGTTTGTCAGCCTCGATAGATGAGTCAACAATTGTATCAACTATCATCAGATTTGCAATACCCTCTATATGAATAAATATCATGAGTTCTTTCAACTTCACCTAAACCTTTCTTTTTATGTGACTTTAAGGTTACGGGAAGCCACATGTCTGGCTACATTAGTGAATGTTTGCTCTAATTTACATGCTTTGTGTGAATTCCATGATTGAAGTTAAAGGTTATGACGAGGCTCAACTGATGCTCCAGTGTAACTTAAGAAATCCTCATCCTGATAGCTGATAGCTGCACCATCCGAGCAGATTTCTGTCTTTTATCAATCGTAAATTCCGAGTAGTAGATTAACCTGATTCAATCATAGGTAGTGAGTAGCATGTTTCCGAATTGAACTTAATAGGTTAAAGAGCTCTAAAGATACACAGGTTAAGTACCTGCAATAAACTTCTTATATTATTAACAATATCTAAAAATATCTTTTCTAAATCAAAGGAATTCCCAATATGCTTTATTTAGATGTAACTTTATAGATTGCAAAACGGTAATTCCTCGCGATTCTTAAAGAACAAACTTCACATATTAAAGTTACTCTGCATCAATGTGAAGCCTACCAGAACCAAAATTTATCAAAGTCTCTAGAAAAAGGAAATTTTCTTCTAATCATGTATTTATCAAAGCCATCCATTCTTACAAAGTCACTCATTCTCGAGACACTCTCGTCCTTAAAGACTCTCGCAATAATCCCATATTTCATCAGACCTTACAAAACCTTTTAAGTATTCTCCAACACGAAGTCCCACACAAACCCTCAATCTTTGTACATTCAAGATGGCAAATAAAGAAGAAGTAGCCAGATTCTGTCGCACCCAAATTTACAAGGACATCGAACTCGCTCTTCACAACCTCCTCACTAAGAAGAGAGATGCCATCTCTCCACCTCACCCATCGCCCGCTCAACACTACTACGCTGCCTTCAGTCGGCCGCCCAACTGTAGCTGGTCCGATGATAGCGATCGATATGCGGATCAAGAGTACGACTGTAAGCCCCCATGTCCTATACTCGCCAAGGACATGGAGTTCAAGATCTGCCAACGCGACCATCCCGACGGCGAGGCGTGTGCAGATAGGGTTTGTTTTATCCCCAACGCCAGCGCGAGGAAGTACATGCTGAGGTTCATGGCAGATCCGAGGCAAAATCGATCTCTCGATGGTCTGGACCCTGTGGCTTACTGTCTGGTGAGGAAGTACGGCAGCAACATACCCTCAAAGGACATTGAGGCTTTCTCAAGCATAGTGCGTATGCTATTCCTTGATCTCCGTTATGCGGATCGTCAGAATTGGGACCCTGAAGTTCACGGCGTCTTAAATTGGAAGCATCTGCCTTTTGAGACGTGGGTTAAAGAGTTCATGACTGAGATCCATGGGGTTGAGTGGAGGAGAGATATGAAGGAGTACTTATAGGAGTAGGTGGAGGTATTATTATAACCCTTTGGTAATATCGCTTTAAATTGTCGGGAACACAATATTTCGGGCTTGGGAAGGGTATGGGAAGTCTTTTGTTTGTAGGTAATCAAGGTTCTTTGCCGTTATTACTTGCACTATTAGTGTAGGACATACGGTCAACGGGCTCATAACCTTCGCACTCCTGGCAGACAACGCCATGAATCACATTCTTATACAAAAAGAAACCGAACCTCCGACCTATACACACAAGAACATCACCGCTAGACATCTCTGTGACATAGCCTCGGACGCGCAAGCGTGGAAGAACTGCAACGATTGAAAAGAAATGATGGCCCGGGGCACACGAAACTCAACGAATAATTGCTACCAATTGTAGGAGTGGTGTCAAGGATAAGTTGATCGACTAGCTGAGGGCGTTGTTTGTTCGTTGGAGGCAGGAGACGTGGTTCCAACAATTAGTCACGGCGGGTGGCTTACGGACAGGCAATGGTTGCTTCAATGGCGCAATAAGAGTTATGTTTCTTTACGGTTCTTCAATAATATCCACTGAATCTTCAATACCTAACGCCTTACAATGAATGACCCTCCACCCTCAAAACTGTCCTCAAATGAGTAAACGCCAACTTCTCTCCCTTATGACAAGCCAGAAGATTCGCCGTCTTGAGGACGTTCTTGATCTGCCGACCATTCAGCTCCAGACCAGCCAGAGCCTTGATCTCTTCCTCCTCAATCTCATGCGCAGACTCGCCCTCCATCTTTGCATCTAGACTGATAGCACGGCTCAAGAAACCTCGCCAGACAGACTCTCGGGCGGTGTTGTCGAGGGGAGGATACTCCAGCGACATATGGATTCGGCTTTGGAAGGCCTGATCCATGTCCTTGACGCGATTGGTGGTGAGGAAGAGGATGCCTTCGTAGTATTCGAGCATGCGGAGGAAGATTGACACAATGCGATTGCGCTCGATGTCATGTGCGGATCGAGCTTCGAGGAAGACGTCGCACTCGTCAAGAAGGAGGACAGCGTTCCAGTTGGCCACCATTTCGAGAATGCGCTGAAGGTTCTCCTCGATGTCATAAGCGTCGCTGCCGAGATCACCAGCGCTCATGATGTACAGGGGAACCTTCATCTCCTCAGCCACCGACTCAGCAGTCAGTGTCTTACCAATACCGGGACCACCAGACAAGAGCATGATGATACCCTTACCCTTTCCAGAGATGATATCATCAAAGACATTCTTGAACTTGACCTGGCTTTGAGCGAAAGCGAGAATAAGTTCCTTTTGATCGGTGGGCAGAACAAGCGAGTCGAAGGCTTTCTCGTTGAACTTGACCTCTGTAACATCATCAATGAAGAACTCCATCCATCGCTTGTTCTTCAGAGCATAGCCGCGGACCATAGGACTTGTCATGATGAGCTGTTCTTCGCTGAGAGGAGCGCGCTGGTCGTCATCAAAGTCAGGCTTCTTGACACCTGAGTCGCTGTAACAATCACTGTAACAATCGTTGTCGTTATCATTGCCAGCATCACTATCCCGGTCACTGCTGGCGACAGGCCCTTCGCCGGTCAGATAGTTGAGCCAAACGGTATGGTCAGGATTCTGCTTCTCCCAGTTCGCCCCATCGATGACAATGCGTGAGTTGACAGTCTCTTTACGAGACTTGTTCGCATTGACCCACCAGATGGCAGTGCCGCTGTATGCCTTGTAGTGATAGCCCGCAAGGCTCTCAAACTTGCGTCCACGATCAAGAAGCATCTTTCGTGCTGCGTCGTGATTGGGGTGGTACTCTAGAGGATAGCATGAAAGGCTGGAGAAGGGAGCAGTGCCTGGGAAGTCGTTGATCTGCATGGTAATATCACACCACCCCATACTTCTTCCATCCCAATCAATGCCCTTGCAGTTCATCATGTAGGCAAGTCCACCGCACTGTGTCTTTGCGAGGTATCCAGAGTCGAAGCGAACAGCAACGGGTCTTCCCTTAACAGAACCCCAAACTGTGCAACCAGGAGGGAAGAGAGTCCAAACATGCTCAAATGCAACGGCGCGGTTCTTGAAGTAATCCTCTCGCAGCTGGATAATCTCACCCAACTCTTCCCTCATGATCTTATGCAGCAGCGACACATGCTCGCGGGTGATTTGATCATAGTTAGGGTCATCCTTCGCAGCAGTGAATTGACCCCATCGATGAACAAAGCACTCAAAGGGAGCATGGAACTTGAGGCGCGAAACATCAGTGACGATACCTGGGTAGTCCTCAAAGACCTTTCCGAGCACCCGCTTGAGGTAGGGAGATTGAATGACGAGGGAGTCAATGTCGAGAGGCTTGTTAGAGTCAGCCTCCTTGGGCTTTCGCTTGCGGATGATGACGGCATATTTTTGTGTCTCTTCATTCTCTGCCGCTTCCTCAAGATCATCGGGGTACTTGTCTGTCCATGATCGGTCTCCGTTCTTATCGAACTTTGCGTATAGATCTTTGCTTTCTGTGAGGAGACCGACCATGACCTTTTCCTTCTTCTCTTCATCTTCTTGTGGTGTTTCTTCTGCCTTGGAATCTTCTGCTTTGGAGTCTTCTGTCTTTTGTTCTGTCTTGGTTTCTGTGGTCTCTTCCTTGGGCTCTGTGTCTGCAGGTGTCAATATGACGGTAGACTCGTCGCCGCTGCTCTTGGCTGAGTCCATAGTGTCGGTAGTCATGATGTATGTGTAGTTGTTGATGGGATATTAGGCGAGGGATAAAGTGTGGTTGTAGTATGGATTGGCGAATGAGAATGAGGAAGTGTGAATTAGTTTGAGATGATAACTTTTACTCCAGCTTCTATCTTCCTTTTTATACAACACCGATTCGCCCTGAGATAAGACTTCCATCTGTAGGCACGACGGCATATTACTCACACGGCATTGCCCAGACCCGCAAAAAGGAATACCAAGTCTAGCTGTGAATAGCTACGCCAGCGAAATCAATAGTGAACAGCAGGTATAATACGCTCACGGTCCTCTGATAGGCTGAACGATTTCATCGGCGACCATTTGCAGCAATTGCTGACCATGCTGATCGCAGCACAGCCCGTCAATGGATCTAGATCCAGGCACCGGCCCATAAGGCTTAGGCTGCCTGTAGGCATCCAACACCGCAACAAAACTGGAAAAACCATTGTAAATGGTATAGTCGGCTCTCGTCGAACCAAAGTTCCATCTGAAGGAAACCGAGCCTGGGATTGGATGGCCGAAAGAGTCATCAGAGGTGTTGTTTGAGGATGATGAAAGATCTGCAGAGACACGAATGCTGAGCAACGTGAACCTCACATCATCGCAGGCAACAAAGCTACACCAACGAATAATCGGATATATCGTCAAAAAAGACTGTTTTGTACTACCGTGAATGAGTAATTACAAATTTCCACCATCGAGGATACTCGCAGCAGCCTCTTTGATAGCAGCCTGCGCCAAGAGAAACAGACTTGGCCCAACACTAATCCTCGCAACACCAATCTCACCCAATGCCTTAGTTGACAGCGCATCCTTGGTTCTATGCGCCAGCTTGACCGCAACCCTTCCATCAAGCTCTTTCACCAAGGTCTCAACCCATGCATCTCGTAGTCCCCGTCCTGATCCGCCCCAGTAAAACACTGTTGTAGCACCAGCTTCAAGGTACGCTTTCCCGCGTTTGATAGCTTCTTCCATTGCTTCAGCTTCTGAGAGGCCTGTGTCGACGTGGAAGGTGTCGCATCGTGCATTGACGACGAAATCAGGACAACCTGCGTCAGAGGCAGCCTTGAGAGCTGTCTTAAGACGTTGCACTTGTTCGTCAGTGGGGTAGAATTCGCCCGTTTCAGAGCTCACATCTTCGATGTTGGCGCCGACAACACCAAGCTCAACGGCTCGCTTGACAGTAGACTCAATCTGAGACCCATATCCGTCTTGCAAATCGGCAGACAACGGAATGCCAGCCGCTTTGGCGAGTGGTGCAACCTTGCTAATCGCTTCCATGTTTTGCTCGAGGGTAAGCTCCTCATCTTGGATACCGTATGTTGCCGCAACGGCCCAAGACGCCGTCGCTAGAGCCTTGACTGGTTTAGAAGTGCCATTGTTGAGTGATGTAACGGTTTGGAACGAAGCGACGTCCCAGATATTTGGGAAGACAACTGGTGATGATGGCTTGTGGAGAGCCTTGAGCTGTTTGGCAAGGTCGTTGGACATGGTCGATCAATATTAATGATGTTGGTAATTCTTTGTTTATGTCTGTCTCAATTGCAATATTCCTCACGATCTTTATATGCCAAGACAGAGGAGTCATACCTACATGTCAATACTTTAGTGTTGCTTTTGATGTGAAGGGCGCGGGGGACGGGGTAATTCGGCATAAGACGGCGGGTTAGGTGAGTTATACCGAACTCATCAACGAGGCTTTTCAACACCAATAATTGCATTTAGTGGCATCGTTTATGATCTTCACCAGGTTCAAGACTCTTCATACACTCCGACATAGCCATTTCCCCTTCACACTGCACAGTTGATCTCCAACTGTCCCGTCAATATGGACAAGGGTACCTCGCTAGACCTTCCGCTTGGGATTTGCTTGTGGGGGTGTCCCATGGCGGTTCAATGCTAGACGACGGCTCAGCAGTGTCACAATATTTATGAATCGTATCACCACTTTGTGACTGAATCATCCTCAATCTTCCCTCTCACTCACTGCATCACTCACTATTGCGAAGATGCCTCTTCAGCTGCGCCCTGCTGTCCCAGAGGACATCCCCGACATGTGTCAGGTCTACTACTCAGCCTTCGGTGACACCTCTATCGGAAGCCGTGTCTTTACGTCCGACATCGATGCCTCAAACCGTTTCTTTCAGAAGGGCTTCACGGATGATATTGCAGACCCTCTGTGTGAATTACTCGTCGTTACGCACAAATCATCCCCAGACTCAAAAGACGAAAAGGTGGTCTCGCTAGCGAAATGGGCCCTCCCCGGTGCCCCAATTCAGGATCCTCCACCAGCCGAAGCATGGCCAGCAAATGGTGATCTCGCCGTCCAGTTCTTTGGCGCTATGACAAGAGGCCATCGCAAGTTGATGGGCGATAGACCTCATTATTACCTTGAACTCATCTGCACGCACGAGACCTGGCACCGCAAAGGCGCGGGCACTTTACTTCTCCGCTGGGGCATCGAGCACGCAGACACAGATGGTCTCCCATGCTTTCTTGAGGCTACACCCAAGGGAAAGCTGGTATACGAGAAGTTCGGATTCAGGGTAAAAGCTGAGGAGGAGTTTAAGTGGTCGTTCGGGACGTTTGTGGAGACTTACATGGAGCGTGATGCAAAGATCGAGAAACGGACAATGACGCGGCCGAAATCCAAGGAATTCGCGTAGATCTTTGTGTCACTAAATGGAGATTTGCGCGGGTTACAAACACTGACTGGGCTGCTTTTCTGTCTCGCGCTGTTGTGGGTGGGTTCTTTTGCATCTTCAACTCCAACTGCGAAATGATACACAATGTGCACCTGCGAATGGATACATTATGCCTGCGGGCACGAAGAAAAAGCCCGATATATCGACTGCACAACGAGAAAAGAAATTGCCAACAGCTCAGAATGCTCATGCGGGAGTGTTGACTTTACCGTTATTCGATCGCTACGGCCCTGCGGAAAGGCCGGATGTGCATACAAAGAGTGCATGATGAGAGGATGGATTTGTTGCAGATGCGGAAAGGGACCTAATGAGGGTCATGTTTGCAAGCAGGATGTTAAGCCATGGCGATGGGATTACTTTGAGTGTGGGCATGATTTCTGTAAGGACTGCAGACCATGGAGAGGAGAACGACAAAATGGACATCATGGAAGGCATTCGAGAAAAGGATCAAAGGAGATGATTCGAAAGGGACTGCATGTTATCACCGGAAGAACAGAGAGAGTTTGACGATGTTACGACGTCTATGGCCTGAGGGAGGGAAAGTTCTAGAGCAGAATCTGCATATTGAGTTTGCAAATGATACCATTGAAGCTATCACGGACGTTTAAACTCGGCCGAGAGACCGACGGACCTGACGATCAACCCCGTTAATGGCTGCAAGAAAACCCACGAAAATTCTCGAATAGAAATGCCAAGAAATACGGAATCTCCGGCTTTTTCTGCCTCGGCCTGGGGGGATCGTGGCGTCTACGTGGCTATGACATCTTATCATGACGTCGACCAGTCTTTTTTTATTTTTTTAGTTACTGTACCAAACAAAAAATCTAGAAGATCTTGGTAACTGTGCACAAGACACTTGCAGCCAATTCGGTCACCAAATGGGAATAGATCAATGCTTCCCAAGATTTGCAGGTTTTTTGTCGCGTGACTTGCCCCTTGTTTTATGATGCTGACGATGATGCCGTGAAACCTTTCTTTTACTCCTTTTTAATTAATTATTTATGCTATTTGCTCTCCCCCTTTTTTCCGTTGTCGAAATTGCTGGCTCTTTCAGCGAATAGCTTGGTCATTTTCTTGCATGTGAAAGAAGTGCTGTACCCTTGTCATAGCGTCCCGTCCGTGTAAACGTCACCAAAGAGATACAGCCACAACTAGATTGATTTGCGTTGTACGAGCAATCCAATCGCCGACGGACTTTCGCTGTCTTTTCTCTTTCTAAGCACAAAATTTCTATCGCTGTTGAATTCACATAACGATTATTATTTCTTCATTCTCTTCATCCTCGATTGATACACCACACGCGGCACTTATTTCTGCGCACCGTCGCATCAACCCTCATCATGAACGCCTCCAAACTGTCCTACCTATCCCGCCTAAGCCCGATTCCTGCATTCCCTGAATACACAGGGCCCTACAAGGTCGGCACCGTCGATGTCGAGATTCCTATTTCCGAACTTGAAGCGCCCAGCGCTGCCCCCGAGGGCGTTGATCAGATCCATACCGTCCAGTATCGCATGTTCTACCCAGCTGTTCCCGAATCGCGCGAGAAGCACATCAGCTGGTTGCCTAATCCTCAGCGACAGCATCTAGTTGCATACACAAAGTTTCTTGGTATTGGGCCCATGCTGGCAGAGTTCCTTTCGTAAGTGCGCCGCATTTGAATCGTTCCTATGACTTGCGCTGACAGGCAATAGATTCCTGCCCCGACATCTTCACTATACCACGATCCCAGCCCACAAGAACGCGAAGCTCCTCGAATCGTCCGCCGAGAACAAGCGATGGCCGACCATGATCTTTTCCCATGGTCTGGGAGGATGCCGAAACTCCTACTCTTACATCGCAGGCTCCCTTGCCTCTCACGGTATCGTCGTCATCTGCCCTGAGCATCGCGATGGCAGCGCTGTCGCCAGTTTCATTCGAGTTCCCGAGAAGCAGAACGGTACCATTACCTCCAACGGCCGGATCCACGTTCCCTACGAGAAGATTTCCCACGATGTCAGCCCCGAAGTCTACCAAGCCCGCGAAGCTCAACTCCGAATTCGATGCTGGGAGCTCGGTATGATCCATCAAGCTATGCTTGCCGTTGACAATGGCACCCGATTGACCAATCTGAATCGCTCTACCCCGAGCCTCGATCAATTCGTCGGCCGATGCAATATCCATGAGCCTGGCAGTATCATCTTCGCTGGCCACAGCTTTGGGGCTGCTACTATGACACAATTCCTTAAGAGCACATACTATGCCGATGTTCCAGAGGTTGCTGCTATGGACAAGCCCATCTTTGTCCCCGCCGAGGGCAGTGATATTCGAGAACAGGTCTCTGAGAAGACACTCGTCATGCTGCTCGATATGTGGTGCATGCCCCTCATGGCTCCCAACTCGGCGCCTCTATTTAACCTGCCGCTACCTGCATATGTCGACAAGGCCAGCGCTCCTGGTGGAAAGGCTATTCTCGCAGTCGAATCGGAGCACTTCTTCAAGTGGACCGACCATCTTCACATGAAGGCGCGTGTTTTGAGCCCTGATCCTACGGTCAAGGTCGTCACACCCCAACTATTCGAGCGACCTAGTGGTTACAAGATGTCAGAGCCAAACTTCTTCTACGTCGTCAATTCTGCGCATCTCAACCAATCCGACTTCGGAATCCTGTTTCCGTGGTTGACGCAGAAGATCTTCAAGGCTGAGCAGCCCGAGCGAGCGCTCCGTCTCAACCTCCGTGCTCAGCTCCAGATGCTTCGCGAGAACAACGTACCCGTCGGTCGCACATTCGCCGGAGACCTCGCCGACGGTACTTCGTTTGATAAGCTCGACAAGTTCAACGAAGCCAACGGCGATCCCTGCAAAGACGGCATCAACAGTGATCAAGCCATCTTTGACAAGAGCGGCAACAATCCTGTCGAGTTCTGGCGGTGGATCGACATCATTGGTCTTGGAGATGCTGATGATAAGAAGACAACTGAGCAGAAGGTCGAGGAGGGCGAGGAAGAGATGAAGGGCGAGCTTGATCCTAGTGAAGAGTTGCCTGGAGCACCGCCTTCTATGACCGGAGCTGTCAGTGCTGCTGCAGCGTAAAAAGATGAACAAAATGATCATGAAAGCGATTTGGCCTTTGGATGGGATTGTTTGGAGATACCTCTTGGCGTAAGGTTAGGAAAGGCATATTGGATTTGTAAGGATATTGGATGCGAATACCAGCTAGACTCTTTTGTAAAGTACGAATACATCTTGATTTACTCTTGACTTGCGTATCCCATCTCAATGACCAAAGTAGACCCATCATTCTGCCATATTCCTCCAACGCCACCAAACACACACTTTGTCGATACAGGATTCCACATTCGTCCTGTTATTTCATCACTGTCAACGGTGACATCTCCTCTCGGCGCACACGCAACGGTTCGGCATGTCCCTTCTGTCGCGGACAGGCATTGGCCAGCTGAGATGCTTATGTGCTGTTCTGCATCGGTGAAAGTCGACCATGCGGCTATAGCTACTGGGCAGGCGAGTCGATCGGGACCGGGTTCCTGTTCATGGTTAGTGACGACGATTGTCTGAGATTGGAGATCTTGCCGTAGTGCAGACGAGTGTCTCGGGTGTGTCGTCAGATGGAGGTTTGAGATACTGGAGCGGATCGAGGCCTGTTTTGTTGAGGAAGGCAGACCATGGGAATTGATCTATGATGGCTGTTGGTTCGTCGTGGCGTCTCTTCAGGATTTCTCTTCCTTGCGATAAAGATGCTAGCAAGATAATAATAGTCTTGGTGAACATTGTGAGGAGTGCCGCTTGCAGGTGGTGATGCTACGTGTCAGGCTAACATCAGCGATAAAGATAAGTAGGTGAGGGATCTGCTTTCAGCGCTCCTTGCTGATCGCTTAGGGAGTTTTCCAAGTTCAATTCATTCGATAGAATGTCTAAATGGTCGTGACTGCAGCTTCTAGAAAGCTTTGGATCAAGGTATCACTTTGATGGAGACTCCTGCTTCTTATACTTCCATACAATTACAACTCTTTTGTCATTTCTTGGCTAGAACTTGGTAACTATGGGAACACTGCCTCTTCGCTTATCTTTCGCCAAATGAAGCATGGCAGGCCTCGCACATGAGGTCGTGATGTGCGTGGTTCCGGATGCGGAGGTGAGACTGACAGGCCGCCATTTTTGTGTTCTCAATCCGGTGACCGGGACTTGAGACAAGCATATGGATGGATCTTTAAGGGTCAAATATTGGTTCCAAGCCAGAATCTTCTTAAACACATAGCAGCATATCCATCAATTTCACTGGCACTGCCGCTTATTCGGTGTCCAGTCGCCTCTTTTGTTGTAGCTGCACCAATTGATGTCATAGAAGTGAGACAGAGGGGCCTGCGTAACCTAAGCACCTGCACATCCAACGGGCCGATAATGTTGCTGAAGGCAAAAGCCAGCTCAATCACTACCTCTACCTAAGGTACCTAATAATTGATTTCCAAAACAATGGCCTATCGATCATTGACCCTTAGGGGCAACTGTGAATCGTGGGCCCTCGCGCTATGTTCACTCTTTTGTCTGACCTTTCTCCCATATGCTCTTGAATAACAAACATCTCGGCTCAATGATGTTTGCATTTCTAACATCCAATGCCTTGACTGGTTCTTTACCGCCAGGGCTCACACCTCCTCCAAAGATACCAAGCTTAGGAATTTGTTCCCACCCAGGGCCATCAGTGGGATCTCTGATGAACTTGCCCCAAGCCTTCTGCATCTCCCTGCTCAACTTCCCTTGAAACTCAGTAACACCTTTCTCGGGAAACGTCCCAAAAAGAGTTGGAATTTCCGCAGAATGGTATGCTCCACTGCCATTGAAGATCTCAGTATTGGCAAAGCTCGCGTTGTAAATATATCGCCAGGTCTTGATATCTGCGTCGGCAAAATCTTCAGCCACGTAGCGAATGGGGCACTGCATGCCGATTTCAGTGGCCATTCTGGTGACCTGATCGAATTCGTTATTGATTCCGGGAGATCCAATGGGGTAGAGGAACTTGAGTAGCGAAACTTGAAAGTCACTTATGCCAGGGGCCAAGGTTTTCAGAGCATCCTTTACCGAGATGTTCATGAACTGGGGTATTCTTGCCTCGTCTGCTGTTGTGCCCAACATAACAGGAACTCGGGCCATGAGCTTTGGGTTGTCTGTAGACTTGAGACGGATGTCGCGGGGATAGTTTGATAGCGTGACCCCGTCATCGCTGAGAGGCGCAAAATCGAGCATGCCCCTTTCGATGATATCCTTGAGCTTGTCAGCTGGGATCTCGCGCATGCAGTCAAGGACTTGATCAAAGTCGCCATTATCACAACCAGCTAGCTTGGTTGCGTTCTTCCACGAGCCAGTGGGAGTGACGTTTGTTGAAGCAGAGCCAGACTGCAGAATAGCTGCGCGGAATGGGAGAGGGTCTGGTGGAGCTGTGAGAAGATCATCAATACTTCCTGCACCGGCACTTTCACCAAAGATGGTGACTTTCTCGGGGTCTCCTCCAAAAGCAGCAATATTGGCTTGGACCCAGGTAAGGGCTAGCCGTTGGTCAAGGAAGCTGCGGGATGTCAGTATTAAAGAATAGTTGAAATGTTCGATCCCACTCACCCAAGATTCCATTGTCCCTTGGGCAAGTCGTAGGTTTCAGGAAATCCAAAGATATTGGTCCTGTAATTGATAGTAACGACAACCAGGTCTTCATAGCCTGCCATCTTGGATCCTTCATAATAGGGCAGAGATCCAGACCCGTGACTGAAACTTCCTCCATGAATCCAGAACGCAACAGGCTTCGAGCCGGTTTTTGCACCCGCAGGAGCATAAATGTTCAAATTCAAGCAGTCTTCACTGGTCCCTGCTGGGGGTCCAGGTGTAGCAAATATCTCAATCGTTTGATTTCGTCGTTCTTCGGGATAGTTGAACTTCATAAAACAAGCTGGCTTGTAAGAGGTGGCATTGTAGGGAGTATCCCATGGTTTGGCTGGCTTTGGGGGGCTGAAACGGATAGGCTTTTCGGCGAAGGGGATACCGAGGAACTGATTGACTTTGGTCTTGGAATCAGGAATGGATGTTGAAGTCCCGACTATGATGCCGTTGTCTATGGTAGCAGTTGGGTTGATGGCGGTTTTAGATTGTGGAAGGGCGAGTGTTGCTCCCGTGTAGATAGCGATTGTAAGAAGTTTGTAGGAAACCATGATGATGACCGATGGTATTGTAACATGATCGAGATTCAGGGAGAGTCAGAGCTATTTATACAGTAGCCACCTCATTTTTTACCATGTCATCACCAAGTTGAGAAGCCAAGACATAGTGGACAAGCTTAATTCCGCTGTCAAGATCAGCAAGTCTTAAATATCCAAACTCCGCCTATTCTCAGTGGCTCAGATACAAAACGCCAGCAATCAACCAATGATAAGTCCAGACATATACCGAAACTCTTCCTGGTGAGGCGATATTGACCTTACTGAACTTGGTAGCATGCTGCGCTTTGTTTGATTGGTCAGATGTTGAGATGTAGTTCTTGGCTTTACAAGGGTATCGCAACATGAGGCCCAAATGGGTTTAGAGCAGAGCCTCAGCTCTACCTCGATATGGGGCTATAAGTTCGCACTGCCTCTGACGAAATGAAAAGCCGAGGCCGGAAAGAAAGTGATCCATTCCGATGACGTCAGTAATTCCGCTCTGTACTTTCTGTTGGACGAGACGGCAATTCCCGGCCTGAGAAAAGAACGACATAGAGCTATCTTATTTGAACATCCGCTATTTATATCAAGTCGAATATTATGTTAAGCTATCTATATAAGACAAACATTCGCTCTATTACTGTCCATCAGCTCTTTCAACCCTGTCCGGCGTCTGTAGTTCTTGGGCATATCAAAATCAAGCCTCCCAATACGCTCATAGTATTGATCTGCCTTTCGCAAAAGAATCCCTTCACATGATACTATAGTATCGGGATTAACAACAGTTGACTCTTCAAAGTCACTCGGACCAATAGGTCCTCGCATTTTATGAAGTACGTGCAGTCCGAGAAAAAGTACCTCTAATATTTCAAAACTTTGAGGCATCAGGCTTTCGGCATCGTACTCAAAATTCACGACGTATTCGTCCTCACTGTCTTCCGCGAAGGTTACATGACATGCAAACACAGGCCTTTGCACTGTCGAAACGATATCGGTTTCCGTGAAAGATCTTCCTAGGTTTATGTTGAGCAGCGGAGCTTCGAATCGAAGAGCACGTTTTTCCGGAGTGTCGAGATTTATGGGGCTGTGGTTGTCTGGGAAGACATTTGGTTTGGTCAACCGTATGAAAGAATGTGAGACTGGAAGAAACCAGATATTGACACATCTCGTAGCCCAAGACCAGGTAGGTACTCCAGCCAGCGCGTTGTGAGCCTTGTCGTACGAATTTTTCCATAGCAACCCGTCAGCAAGATGTGAACGAAACACTCCGGCAAAGTACTTGTCACCATGAAGGTCGACAAGTCGTTTAGCCAAGCCTTGAATTGCAACAAGTCGATCGGTTTCGAAAGTGAAATGCATATTTGAGTACCTGGATATAAGCTCTGTCCAGGTATCGCCTATTGCGCTATCAGGTTCTTGGGCAAGGCTTATATGCGACTGACTGGTCCTGGTATCTTGAGCGGTGTCCAAGCCACTTCCGTACATAAGACTCTTCGTTGTGCCGTTGCATTGCCATACAAGAGTATTTTTGGACTAATGGAGAATTCGAGGTGACAGAACAGCCTCTTGTAAGCACCATCCTCTTGATCTCAGTGGCTCCGCGGACCAATCCTCCGAAGGCGATGGTCCTGGTACCAAGAGACAGATATACTCTTCCTTCTCATTGTTGAAACCCAGTGCACAAGTTCTGAGGGGATATCTTCGAGCAGTCTGCTTAATAAAAAGCCCCTGGCTACTATCTGAAGCAGCGGATGCCGAGATGAGGCATTTAGAGTGGAGGTAGTATGATCCAATCCGTGGTGCTTCTGTGTTCCAATCATCAAGGTACGTATCGTCAATATCTGACTGAATGATACATATAGCATCAATCCATAAGTATCGAAACTTTAAGAGCCGTGTGAGTTGGATAGCATCTTGTATAGTCTTCGGAAGGTCATGTACTGAGAACCCTTCGCGCCTTGCAGCTATTGTGGCTCGCGTGGTTTTTGCGTGTTCATTGGTAGATCCCCAGCAATAACTAAGCATGAGATACTTCGGCAAAAAGTCTTTTTGCAGATCCTCGGCGGTTACAATAAGTCGGACAATACTGGGATCATTGGTATCAACATCTATGAGGCGTGTTGGTGGATTTGGATTGAGATCTTGACGAAACCATCCGACGTCGCATTCTTGGTGGATGCCACGTTTGTTGATACAATCGTAAATTCTATCGCAAAGCTCCTCTTTTAATCCAGGCTGCAAGGACATCTCTAATGATACTGGAGCAGCCTTTGTCGTTCTGTTAGTTTCTTAGAGGGCCAAGTGTGATCACATTAACTTACCGCGACCTCTTCTTCAAGTCTAATGAGATGTACGGATATCGGAAGGAGAAACAAAATATCTCCAACATAGAGTCTGTAGACTGTAGGCCAATTACCCGCATTGATATTATCTTCTCTTCTCGATAGACCGATGTAACTTTTCTTGGGCAACCATAGGAAGCAGGGACCTGTTGGAGGAGAGTTTAAGCCCATGGTTCCGAGGTTATAGTATACCGTACACGAAAATTGCGACAGAGACAGCAACCTCTGGCTGCTGAGATCTCAAGAGCTTCGAAAGAATGGTGATGTTGAATAGCAGCCGACGTCTGCCATTCTTCCAGGTTCCATGGTATGCAGCGGCAAACATGGCACCTCCATTCGGTAGAGGCTTCATACTCCATAGCTAACGCCCCTTAGGTGATCGCTTCTGTGCTTCTGGGAGACTTGAAACATGGAGTCGTTGATTTAAGAAGTGAAAGATTAGAGATGTAGCACATGATAGTCAGCAAGCCACCATGCAGCTCGGTATCTTAGCCAATCAGGTGGTCTAGCAATTCTTGACTAATAGAGAACTATGAGTACCTCAATAAGACCAATTTTTAATTCCGGATATTTATCTACTGAAAAGGTATACACATATAAATATGGTAAATGCGTCTCTTGGGCGGCGAGACATCTTAGTTCTCGTTCATGAGATAAACATCGCGCTCGAGGGCACGAGTGTTGAGCTTGTATTTGTTAACTAGACTGGCCTCTGTCCCAAGAATTGTTCAAACTTACCACCTTGGAAGGAATGTTGTGTAGATCAGTGATACCGATCTGAGCAGCATCCGCAAGAATCTCGGTCTTGAGAATCTGGATAAGCTTCTTGGGGCCCTCAACACCATAGACGTTTGAGTACATGAAACTTGAAGAACATCAGAAAGGGTCTCGAGCAATTCACAAAAGTAAAACTTACGGACGACCAAGACCAACGGCCTTGACTCCGAGAGCCAACAGCTTGATAACATCACTTCCGTAACGGACACCGCTGTCGGCGATAACCTCGGTCTTTTTGAAGATCTCAGGGGCGTTGCGTCGAAGCTCATATGCAATCTCAAGAGGAGAGGGGGAGTAGTCGACTTGACGACCGCCGTGGTTTGAGAGCCAGATACCATCAGCGCCAGCCTCCACAGCACGAAGAGCGTCTTCAGTGGTTGTGATACCTTTGAGAATGATGGGAAGCTTGGTGTGAGACTTGATCTCCTTGAAAAGATCCCAGCTCAATACAGAAGTGGCACCATTTCTGAAGCTTGTTAGCTGATGTTGGTGTGAAAGAATAGTGAACATACGCGTTGGTGGTGTCATAGCGGGCAGCTCGGTGACGAGTAGATGTAGCAGGAGCATCAATAGTCCAGACAAATGCCCTGACGCCCTGGTCCTCGGCACGCTTCATGGCATCCCAAGTAACAGAGAGGTTGGCATTAGAGTAGATCTGCTGGAAGATGGTGTTACCACGCTTCTTACGCTGAGCACCAATCTCTTCTATAGTCTTGGTGGCATAGAGAGCAGCAACATAGAGAATATCTTCATCTGCAGCTGCATCAACAAAGTTGAGTTCACCACGGTCAGAATCACCATAGCCAGCACGAGCGGCAGGCGAGATGAAGATTGGAGCACTGAAGTTATGGCCTAGGATAGTAACACCAAGAGTCTCGTTGAGGCCCTTCACACTGGCGAGCTGGTGAGGTCGAAGTCTAGCCTTCTCCCAGACCTTGAGGTTGTTGCGGTAGGCCCACTCTCCTGCAGCAGCAGTACGATAGAAAGCATATTGCTGATCAGTCAAGACTTGACGGGCAGCAAAGTCGAAATCAGGAACGCCTCGGATATCCTTGAGAAGAGGTCGGCTGCCCTCAGTCCAGTTGGTGCTAGCGAGGTAAGTATTAAGGCCAGTGTCAGGCTCGTTGAGCCAGGGCTCATAGGCGGAGACGGCAGCCGCTAGGGAGGCAATGATAGTTGAAGTACGCATAATGAATGGATTGGCCTGCCGGAAGTTATAGTAAAGAATGACTGAGCACCCAGGCTAAGAGAATAAAGAGTGAGGCAAATGAGTGGAAGAATAACCAAAACATTAGAACCAACAGTAAGAGGAAACACGTCTGGATAAATGGAAATGCTTGGCCCAAGACACCCACGGACAAGACTTCGGTTACGGCATGTCCTCGAGTTTGCTGGTGGAGCTTCATGCCCTGAGGTTAATGAAGAGTGGACACTGCTATGCCTTCTCGGATCTAGCCTGTGACACTCGTGGGGGTTAATGCCTTGATCAGATTGATAAGATCCATCAAACCAAGGAGAGCAAGAGGAATTATTCGCCGAGGATGTATTGTTAGTCTAGACTAGACAAATGTGGGCATCAATGGTGTAAAAGTTTCGCCTGTCAAGTCTATTGTGAAGCAATTTGAAGTCCTTTCTCATTGCTCCTACGACCCTTTTGATAATTTTGGCAAAACTGGGGTATATCTGATACTCAGACCCTAGCTCTCCTAAATAGCTGGTCAAGATGGTGAAGAGCCTCATTAATTGCATGAATAATACAACTCACTCTCTCATATCGCCAACATCCCATACTCCACTGTTCATCCCATCTTGACCGCGATGAAGTGGGATGCTGAATAACCCTCATTTTAGCCTCAACTCCACGATCCAACAGTTGTGGAGTTCATCCACTTT